CAAAGCCCTACTTTGATACATTATACATATTAGTCATATTTTGTTACAATAGGGCTTTCGGACTCGTTGGTCATTTACAAACGTTTGGTGTAAATGTTCAAAATTGATTTGCTTCATAAAACGACAATGGGTAGAAGGCTACTGAATTAGTAGTTATAAAAAGAGTAAAAGAATACACGACAATTACTCTCAAATCAAAATGGATTGTAATCAAATAGCCGATAGGTAAGATCAAGGGATTTGTCGTCTGTGGCAATTTCTCTGTAAAAAAAGCCTGTACAATGCACATTGCAAACGTCAGGGTAAACCCATTTTCTTCTACACTTTAAAGATTACAGTTTGATAACGCCAGACTATGAGCGTGTTCCCAGTCCCCAGACATATACCACATGTTTATTCTCAGATGAAAAAACACGCATTTACCGTGTATCCTGCTTTGAACCCTTATGACCTAGTGATCTCTCGGTGTTTCTTGAGAGATCATTTTACACTAGGAGTGCAATACATGCTGCATGTACGTCAGGCCTATATTTAGGTAGGTGCGTATACATAATTATGTAGAAATGGTATTGATAAAAGCAAGTTCAAAGCTTGATATATAGCCTTGAACCAGGACATCAATGCAAATTGATGTGATTAAAACCTTGATCTAATTAAATGTAGGCCTACTAGTATACGATACACCAGCTGTTAAATTTCTCAATCCGGCTTTTACTGATAATGAATATAGACCGTATGTGATTGAGATAATTAATAGGTCTTCTAACCATGGCTGTAACAGCATTAGCCTTCTGTTTACTATTTCTAGTAAATTCGTCTCTACAGGATTTTCCTTTCCGTAATACATCATTATTATGGGATGAAAGAGTGGATGATCTGGTAGGACGATTGACACTTGATGAAATCCAACTACAGATGGCTAAAGGTGGTGCCGGAATAAATGGACCGGCTCCTGCAATTGACAGACTTGGAATCAAACCATATCAATGGGATACTGAATGTCTTCATGGTGATGTTGGACACAATGCCACAGCGTATCCTCAATCTATTGGACTAGCTGCAACCTTCAGGTATTTAATGTCATCAACATTCCTATGGTGTATTCATGTCAACTGGTGAATTTCCTAAGAGAATGATCACGTGAAATTTTATTAGTATGTCAAATTCCATCATCTTAATTTCTGAAAAAAAAGGTAACCAAACAAACAGCTATTCGTGTATATGTTTTCATCTGATGGAAATATCTTAGAAAAGTGTCTAAACTACATCAGAACGCTGTTTTTTTTGTATATGGTTTACTGTTGTGTTATAGCTAGTTTAAACTTCTCTTTGAGGCTTTTGATCATACGGTGCAATGTTCTAGCAAGCATTTGTCATTTCAGTACAGATCTGATATTTAGAATGGCTGAAGCTACAGCAGTAGAAGTTCGAGCTACTAATCATGCTAATGTACAGAACGGATCGTATAAGGGTCATACTGGACTGAGCTGTTTTGCACCAGTTATAAATATTATGAGAGATCCGAGATGGGGTCGCAATCAGGTAATAAGTTCAATAAAAAAATGTTGGCCCAATTTGACCAATCTATGAATAACTCATTTTTCTGTACTAGTATCTTAGGCGACTATAATGTGTAATTTCCAATCTGTCGTGTTATAAATGCATAAGGAAAATTATTCAAAAGTTACTTTCCATTATTGATCAAGCTCTTGACAACTTCAGGACCATGTAGTCATTGCCTCAAACCAATGAGGAACCAGGGAACAAAATATACATTAAGAGCTATGTATATTTGAAGTTTTGTCTGAAACCATACAAAGATCACAATACTCAATTGTTTTAGGAAACTTATGGAGAAGATCCTGTTCTTAATGGTATGTTATCACAAGCTTATATTAAAGGTTTACAAGGAGATCATCCCAGATATGTTAGAGCTAGTGGTGGTTGTAAACATTTTAATGTACATGGTGGTCCAGATGACGTGCCAGTTTCAAGATTTTCATTTGACTCTCAGGTTCAAGTATTTCTGGATTAACATAATACATAAAAATAATAAATCGGAATTCTCATCTTAAAGGTACGAAAGCGTCACTTTATCTAAACTTTATGAGTGGTGCCACCAATACCGTTGAAACCAAATTGGGTTGTTCGGAGGTCTCCGTCAATGGGTAAACGAATCTGGCCTTTTTTAAATGCAAGTTTGCATGCGTGTTTTTTTTCATATAGGTTTCTATAAGAGATTGGAGAACAACGTTTCTACCAGCATTTAGATATTGTGTAGAAGCTGGTACATACAGTCTTATGTGTAG